ACATACTGTTCTTAGCAAAAACTAAAATCTTCTGCCCATCCAAACATTTCTAAATACCAGAGATGTACGTTATACTGCTTTAAGGTTTATGGTATGATTCCAATAGCGTCCTTAAACCTGTGGCTTTAATTGTTGAAAAGAGGCTTTCTAACACTTATATACAACTATTAAAAGCACACAAGTCCATATACATACTAATTTCCCTGTCACCAAAATGGCTAACATTGCATTTTAACTGAGGCAAAAACTGAGTCAGCTTAAATGACACTTTATTCCTCTGTAATTGCTGTATTTATGTTGTCAGATCATTTTTAAGCAGAATTATTATTTTTTATCATCAGAGATAAATAAATTAATAATTCATAACTGTCCTCAGCATATAATACAACTTAAAGCACAGTTAATCTAAGAACTAGAATATAATAGAGTTTGACTGGATAAGTTTGATGGGAACAGACTGAAAAGGTCTCGTAATCAGAGGCTTTAACATCGAAGGCATTTTTATTTAAATCTGCCATGACAAGAAAACAGACAGCAGTCACAGCACAGTCCCTTGTGGGTTTGCTGAAACAATGAGAATACTCTGGTGAGGAACACCTCCTGCTAAGTGCTCTGCTCTTCACCTTTTGTTTTTGCTGACATCTTTGTTCACAGTGCGGCACAGATTGCACAGAGGAAGGGCAGCTTCCCCAAGACGCTCTCCGGTAAAGCTGAGGCCTAAAGCAATTACCTCCTCGACAAGGTGGAGTCACCTCACGCTGGCACGCAAAGGGGGTAGTGGAGGTGTTTTCAGCTAAGAATTAATAAGTGAAAGCTGAGGAATTCTAGTCTTATAAACAGTATATATCAACAGCACATAAGATACAGAATGCCACTGAACAGCTCATTTCTTATTGATTATAGATAGATAGATACTTTATTGATCCTGTGAGGGAAATTCTCAGAACATTTTAACCGTGTAACCCCACGTTGATATATTATGAATTTTCACTCGCTGGAAAAAGTGCATCTGTAACATTCCTCTCCTGATATACAGTGTCCTCGTAAAACGTATTGAGAGGTATTTGCTGTTTTCAGACAGCAAAGTCAAAACTGTTACACATTTGCAGTCCAGCAAATTGTACTCTACAATCATGAGATTGAAGTTAATGATCATTACAATATGATAGGTGCTTCGTTACAGGGTAGCATTTGATCATACAAAGATGTATTCTGAAGGAAACCTTGAAGCTAGACCACCAGAAGAATAGGAAATCATCTCAAATGAGTTATGTGAGCTTAATGGGTTGTAGTTATTGCCTCAATATTCAACCAAATACTACCTTTTAAACTCAACTCTGAAATAATCTTAAAGTGAATATGTCTGAATACTTATGGTCACTTGAAATCACAAATTTAAACAGAAAGTATGTTTTGTACTTAAATGATCAAATGTATGCATGGGATTACTCAAAAATAAAACATACATTAGACTGCAGTTATTGTAGTCCTATTCATTTCATGATCACAAACACAGATCGCTGGACTGTAAGCACAAATGTGACATTGCTGTGGTAATAATATTTGAGTGCGCTGTAGCTAAATGCCACAAAAGTGTAGGTTAATCCAAACAGAGGAAGCCCACAGCTTCAAAGTGGGGAAAACAACAAGTCATTTCTACATAACTCCTGTGCACATCTTGAAAGTGAGGCTCTAATTGTCATATCCAGTGCCTTGACAGCTCAGAGCAGGGCATGCTGTTCTGCTAATGAGGCTCCATGAGAGTTTCTCCAGTTTTCTTTAAGGGCCACTGGCCTATTTCTCGAGTAATTTTAAAAACCAGAGATATTTTTCCTCAGGCAGGTCTATGTTAACAGAGCATCTTTGTGAAATAAGCGAGAGTTCCTCTAATGTGCTGCCGACATTCTCAGGAGGAAATTGAGTTGTCATGGGATTGCTGTCTAAATGACTCCTAATTCTGATGCGTTACTTCCTGGGCATTGCTCTTAATAAACAACCGCTCGCCTTTTTTGGCAGATGTGGTTTTCTTCCTTGCTTCTTCCAATGAGCAGCATGACTACAAATGAAGCAGTTCAGCTGCAATCGCTACACTGTCGGTATATACTGTACTGTATGTTTCTGGACACTTGTCAAATCCAGGCTGGCTTAAACATGTTAGGCTCAAAATACCACAAACACCACCGTCATTATCCAGATGTTGCAGCAGCGCTGTACGTCTGAGGGCAACACAAGCAGGAGACCTGATATATCGGTATATCAGGAAGGCAGTGGGGTTGCTGTGTGACTGCGGTTAAATCTCAGCTTCAGGAATAAAATACTTGTCTTGTCCACCTCCTTCTGACCAACTACACTAAATCAAGATCTAGCACATTCACTTCACCTTCACAGTGCACAGTCTCCCCTCTCTAACATTGCCCACACACAGGCGTCTGTCCACATTGTGCCCCTGTGCGTTCCAGGTCAGTCAATGCTCTACAAAGGGCTCCTGGGTTCTCCTGCAATGTCCCAGGACTAGTTTCTTCCACTGTCATTTTGCATTCACATCTTACAAGCATTCAATTGGTTCTGCTTTCTGACACAACCCAGGACAAAGTTGCTAATTGCTTGAAATGGCTAAGAAATCTGTCTGTCCACAATGGTAAATGACCCTTCACGAAAACAAAGCTCCTTAATGGAACATAAACAGAGAAACAGATGGTAATGAATAGTCTGGGACTGTTATTGAACATCAAGACATTTCACGCAGGACACTAATGTAACATAAGTTTAGAATCAAGCCCACTCTACCAGTCATCTAAGTCTCTGTGTTCACAGCCCACTGCAGACCATCATAGCAAACCCAACAGTGCCCCCTGTGGAGAAAAAGAAGGAAGTGCCTTATTGGCTTGCTTGTGCTTGAGCTGAAAGGTTCACCTACTCAAAACAACTGCAGTTTCGATCACGAATGACTTCAATGATGCTGGTCCACAAATATCAATTCAATGATTAATTGCTGATCACTCATTTCTCGCTCTGTATTTATACTGTATGTTTCACATTTCTTTGGACAGATAATTCCACAACAAACAGACAGCACAGAAATCCTTATTCCGTCCCTTTTCCAAGAGATGAGTCAACGGGGCAGCTACGCACATTTCAAAGAGCTTCAGAGCTGTCTTTTTTTTCCGTGCAACACAGAAGGTTCTTTCAGGACTCAGTTTCCCCCATCCCTGTCCTGCCCCCGCATTGTGGAGCTGAGAAGATGTCACTTCTCACAATCTTCTAAACCCCCCCCCATTCTGAGATCTGTAAGACAGATGCATTGAGAACAAAGAGGAGAAACCTTCTCCTCCTAGTAGAGGGAGGCCTGTTCTCAGAACAGAGAACCAGGGCCAGTCTGGTATTAAGGGCATGGTATTCTCAGCAATGTCACTTCTGAAGCTGCATGCTCTCCAAGTGAGCTGTTCAGATCATGTCCTCAAGCCACTGGGTCCCACATTCTGCGAGATGAAAGCCATATTTCAAGTGGGTGCTTGTATAACTGTGAAATTCAACACTGAGAAGAAAAGCTCTGCTAAACGACACACGGGAACATCCTGCACACCTCTTTCGCGCTGTAGCCAAGCATTCAGCTTAGCAAAGGGCTTTATTAATTCCCACAACAGCCGGCGGAACATAAAAAGAAGGAGAGAAAACTGAATTTCAAAAGTACACGTTATTATCAGATAGTGGTGGTGCTCCCTTCTGAAAGAGAAAGAATCAGACATTGGGTTGGCCTTGTCGAGTGCAGGAGTCGCACATATCCAGCACAGCTGACACATGCCACCATAGGACAGAACTGTTGCAGGTTTTCTTGTAGCAATTAAAAGCCGATCTCAGCATGCTGATGAATTGCCGGATCACATCTTTTATTGCAATATGTTCAGCATAAAGTACACAGGAACCAATTACATAAAACAGGGCCCTCAGTTCTGCACAGAATATTGTTTCCATTAAGTGAGGTGTCAGCTCTTAAACTCAGCCCGGGTTCGGTGTGTGTGAGGGAGAGTTCCAGAGACCTCATTTTGATTGTCAAACAGACAGTTATTGTTATTTGTGTTGTACTGGGATGGGGACTGTCAGTGAAAGACTCTCACAGTGGGGTAGAGTGGAGTAGGGGTCTGGGCTCTGGATTATTAGCTGGAATGTTGTGGATTTAAATGCCAGGTGTGACTTTGCTATTGTACCCTTGAGCAAGGTACTTCACCCACATTACTCTGCTAATATACCAGCTGTATAATGTGTGCAAATGTAAGGCACTTAGGATAAAAGCATTAGCCAAATGAATAAGTAATAATAGTAAAAACTACATAGAAAAGCTGATGTCTTCTAGGTGACCTCAAAGGATCTACATCCTTCAGAACTGGAAGCCCAAGGAGTTGTAAGAGGAAATCAAGATCACATATGAAATATCAAAAGATGAGAGACTAGATTAACAACAAAAAAAACTTAATATTCTCTGGAACTGCATGTGTGTGCATTTTATAAATGCCTCTATGCTTCAGAGGGATTATTTTGAATGTGGTGATCTGCGTCATTTATTGATCAGTTTAGGGACATTAAGACAAAGATTAGATAAGAATGCTTAACAAAAACAGCATTACAAATGCCCCTGAAGGGATGGGTTATTAAGGCAAGGAAAAATGACTACTAGTGCAACAAATTGCTGAAGTGTGACTAAGAGTAACTTGAGGGATTTTTCAGAAAGGAATTTGCTGTACTCAGTGTTAATATGACTGTTGGCTTCCATCTAAACCTTTCCAGTGACAAAACTGATTACATTTCTAATTATTATCTTCTTTCTTTGAAAACAGCCATGTTCTTGTCACAAGACATATTTCTCAACTGCATGATGGTCAAGGACACAGCGTAGGGTAAGTGAACTTAGCTGCAACACAAGCAGTAAGAATACCTGCACACACCTCGGGGTTTCATGGTAGTTAACACTTTGCTTGCCAGGAGTTACAGGAATTTAATTAACATTTTACCATCAGCAGCATAAGCGAAACACTTCATAAATGCAAAACTGAAACTGAAGAAATGTTGTATAACATTGTGAGAAATAATACTGCTGGAAACATCCAATAATAATTCATTGATCAGAGTGACAGTATTGCTCTGAATCTCTCTTTATGTACGTAGTTCATGAGGTAGGCTTATGAGTACATTGCAACAACATGGTTTTTGAAACATGCTGCGTGGATTATTAGATATTCACCATGTAAGAGGTGGTCCACAGGACAGTGGTACCTGTGAAGTGTTTCCCTGTTACTGTTCTGGAGACACTCTGTTTACATCTTTCCTTCTTTCCACTGTCTTTGCTGTGATACTGTCCTTCCCAACAGCAACACGAGCTGGGAGCCGTACTAAGATACCCTTCTGATGTTTGTTAGCTGCGATTCTGTCCATTCAGTCGGAGCTTGTTTTTCGCAGTGTGTGGAGAGAAGAGAAGCGGTGATCAAATCGCTGTCTTTGCTGTGGCAGGAAGGCCGCGGAGGATGTGACAGAGCATGACAAATCAGCACACGACACCCAGCTCGTACAATCTGCTCCTCTGGTAGCATCTGCCATGCCTCAGCTCCTCCACAGCAACACCCACCTCGGCTGCTCTCAGCAATAACAGTCGGGGAGATCCTGCACGGGGCAGGGGAAGGTTCATTTGTCACTGGAGCAGCCACCTGTCTGCTTGTACAGACCACTAGCAGCCCTGTAAAAGAGTGGGTTTGTAAGGGGCAGTGCCTGTTGCAGCTAGCGTGAGAATGAGGAGTGAAACCAGGTTGCTACTGTAATACATGTTGGTGGACCAATAGGTGGCGCTCTCCCCTGTGGTCCATAAATTCTGAAACAGTGATCCCTGCACAGTGACACTGCAGGAGAAGGTGCCATCCTTCAGATGAGATGTTAAAAATTCAAGACTACTTACTTGGTATTAAAAATCCCATAGCACCCTTTCAAAGAGGAGTCTGCACATTTTTCTACTCTGGCCTTGCACAAGCTGGCCTTCCTAATTTCCTTTGGGATGTGCATGGCAGTATACGTGCAAGGAATTTGTCAGAATTAGAATTTTAGTTCATGTTCAACATGAGGATAGTAGATTTTTTAAAGAAGAGCAAAGTTCTCCGTTAAAACTAGATGGGCTCTGGTCGTTCTCCTTCTGCAGCATAAGAAAGCTTTCAATGGTACAGAACTGTGTTGTTCCTCTTGTGACAGCTTTGACCTATTTCCTGGGTCATCCTTATCCAGGGGTGTCCAAGCCTGGTGCTGGGGAGCAGGTGAGCCTGCAGATTCTAATGCCAACTGAACTCCTAACTAAATGAGCTATATTAGCTCCTAACCAGCCAGCTCAACAGTTTCTCCCAGCTCTTCACTTGCGGCTGCTTTAGGGAGACACTCCAACCCTCTCTGAGCAGGACTGGACCCTTTCTGTCCTACTCCACGTCTCTGTTAAACGTTAACTAACGTGACTCGTGTGGATGAAGACAGTTACTGTAAATACCTTGCCGGTAATTGTGTGAAGAGGAAATGGAAAACCTTTCATTCTGGTTCCAAATGATGTTTTCATCTCAACGGGGGTCTGATTGGAGCTTGTAGCAGATAATTAGCTGCTCACAGGTTTTAATTTCCTCACAATCTGCTGCCATTTCATTGGCACTTTATGTCTTATTTATCTTCGCTGAAAGGCGCGTACCGCACAGAGAGGTCGTGTTGCTCCGCCTGGGGCAGTCACAGCCGGGCCTTGTGATGCAGGGGGGAATTCTGCTCACGTGTCGCCTGCAGAAGTAATAAAAAGCAGTACCCTTCACTTGTCTCATGCTCAACTAACTGGCTTCAAAGGTAGATGTCATTAAAAGTCATATGATCAGCCTTCTTAGCAAAAACAAACTGTGTGACCACCTTGTTTTTGCGATACACTCTCCTGTACTGAACTATCAATGCATTGTCAGTGCTGTAATAGTTTTCACAGCGTGCTGCCATTTCAGTTTGTAGATTTTTTCCTTTAAAAATAACCTTGTATATTTTGGGGCAGCCTAGTGCAGGAGGTGAGTCTCTGCACTCATATCTGGTGGGTTGTGGGTTCGAGTCCCCACTGCATTTCCTGCTGTTGTATGCTGAGTGAGCTTCTTTACCCCAGTTGCTCCAGTCCACCCAGCTGTAAGAATGGGGACAGAACTCTGAAGACAGGTGTCCCAGCCGGCAAGGGAAGCTCATGTTTTCGGATTGCTTCACACCTAGAAACTAGCCATTGATTTATCTACCTTGAACAGGGTCATGACGCAAAATAAGACGCACGACGGAAGAACAGAACACATTCGCCACCTTCTGGCCACTGCGGGTATCGCAACCTTTCTCCAGTAATTAAAGGGGAATTTCTATTTTGGGGTTAGAAAGATCAGTGCATTGATGAGTGAATTTCAAACTTTTTCAATGTACACAGTAACTTGTAAAACCGCTAATTTACATCACAAAAAAGGCTAAGTTTCCTGGTATGCACAGCGCCATATTCTGTGATTCAGAACAAGCCAACAAAACTTCAAGTGAGGTGAAGCGGCCCTATTACTTTGTAAACAAGCAGCCTTGAGAATAAATCTCTTTTAATCCAATAGAAAAATTGCTCTGAAAGAATGCTACTCACTTGTTAACTCTGCATGCAGGACACTTTGGAAACTTTCTGTGGTGAAATGTCTTCACAACCTGTACATGTCATTACAGTGAGTGTGGCTAAGGATCTGCACCTGTGGCTGGAAGGTTGCCAGTTCAAATCCTGTGGCCAGCAGAGGAATCCTTCTCCGGAATCCTTCTCTCTCTTAGAACAGTCATTTCACGTCACAATTCATGGGAGCTCCTGCTCTCGGCACGGGTTTACGACAACATGAGAGTTCATGGTTTTGAGCTTAATTCGAAATGTGTATTTTTTTTTCTATAAAGTTAATGATGTATTTTGTTACTGAGATTTAATAACTGGTTTGAGACACCGGGACAGCAGTTTCCCTTTACAAGGCCAACCAATGCATTTTCAAACTGTTTTTTTCCCCATTCAGGGCCGCAAGGGAGCCAGAGTCTATCCTGACAAGCAAGGGGTGCATGGCAGGGTACACCCTGGGTAGGCTGCCAGTCCATTGCAGTCCACCACCGGGCAGACACGGACACAAACACACTCACACCAGGGCCAATGTCTGCAGACACCAATTAACCCACCAGCATGTCTTGGGACTGTGGGAGGAAACTGGAACACCCAGAGGAAACCACGAACAAGGGGAGAACATGCAAACTCCACACAGACAGCACCCCAGGTCTGGAATTAAACCCAGGGCCCCAGCACTGCGAGCATGCGGCCCTTGCTCTAACCAGCACTTCATTATTTCTTTGAAAGCTCTCACTGCCGAAAACTGCACTTAAATTTTCAATGGGCACCACACGTCAACTAGTTTCTTTTCTACATATGGATGCTTTGGAAAGCATGAAAACCTGAGGCCTTAGACAGTCACTGTGACCAAGAAGATCTTAATTTGGGTTTCGGCCTGACTCAAGCCTTTGCCTAAAACCCTTTAATCTGTGTGGATGTCTTGAGTCCAGGTGAACAGAGAGCTCTCTCCACTGTGTGTGGCTCCACTCTGCTCTGTTACTCTGAGGTGGCAGGATGTGCGTTAATCCTGTCTGTCCAGCTGAGGGCTCAGAGAACATGTTCAATCCTCTGTGGAAAGGGGAGAAGGACATTCGTACGACTCCTGCTAGGCTCCGTCACAACTAGAGTCGGAGCTGCTGACTTCTATGTTTTAAGGTGAAACTTTAACTCTTATTCTATTGCACATAAAGTCTAAATAAGATTCGCTACAAATACAGATGATTTGACTACAAAAGAAACCCATGGGATTTGTTGAAATAATACACTTGCATATGATTAGTAATATTGTTTGTTCATCATCAGATAAATGTAGTGAAGACAAATGAAAACTGGAATATCTTTGGGATTTTTAGACCTGTGCAAGCTTGTCGTGGTTTCCTCCTCACGCGACTCTCACTAACAGAGGATGTGAACGCGAGCTAGGGAAGATGTCCATCTTTGTGCTGTGATGAGGTGAGCAGAATTTGAAACAGAGGTCAAAATTCACTGTGATTGCTCTTCTGGATCATAACCTAATTTTCCTAATTCAATCCACGCATCTGCAGTAAACAACATCCTGTTTGCCTTCGGCTCTCTGTAACACAAAGGCGTGTTACATTCATTGGATTATAAAAAAGGCTGCCCAGAGAGGCCAAGCAGGGTGCACAGACTTTTGTAAGGTTCCCCATTTTGTAAGCACCTCCAAAACACAATACTTTGGGGTTGTTATTTTGGGAGAAGCATTGATGTTTAATGGAAGCAGTTAAAACTCCAGTGTCTGATTAACTTTCTAAAAAGCGCAGTAAGGAATTTTCAAAGTCATGTGACACATTGTCATACAGTACCTCTTTATTGCTAATTCTTCTGAGTGGCATAGGCCAAAAGGCTGTTTTGGTACCTACACAAAACGGTTCTTATCTCCAGTGGAATTTTTCCTGCACAGTCTATGAGCAGCATTTAAACTGAGGCCACAAAGGTAATTTGCTCTTTAATCAACTTATATACTGTACTTCACCAGTTCTAAATTCAAATGAAAACAGGAAAGAGATAATAAAAAGACATTACTGGATGAACGGCTATTCTTTCTCATACAATGTATTCCAAGAGTTGCCCATAAATCTCTTTAAGGATTACTTGCGTATTTGTTTAACTTCAAGCATATTTCAAAATACATTCTGTTAAATTGTCCACAAATATCCTTAAGCACTTCAAAACACAGTAAACAAGGCTGCACAGACGCCACTTTCTATTTGAAAACTTCAGCTTATTAACATTTATAAAGGACAAAGGACACTGGTTTTTCAGACCCAAAAAAGAAAGACTGGCAAAAACTCCAAAATTGTGATTTCTAGAAAAAACGACCAAATGCAAAGTAATCATGCTATCATTTTCACATCAAATCCCGCGGCCGACAGAGGAATCCTACTCCGTTGGGCCCCTGAGCAAGGCCCTTAACCCCAGCTGCTCCAGGGGCGCTGTATAAATGGCTGACCCTGTGGTCTGACCCCAAGCTTCTCTCTCTGCCTCTGTGTCTCGTGGAGAGTAAGCTGGGGTATGCGAAAAAACACAAATTCCTAATGCAAGAAATTGTATATGGCCATTAAAGTGATCTTATATAAGTTATTATTATTACTGTCATCGTATACTCCATTCTCTACTCTTCTATCTGTTGTTTGAAACTTATTGGTGCTGTCGGTCTGCTTGAATGTGTCTCACTAACCTTCTCTAGAAGAGCACAAACTCTGTAACGAAGCCGAAATCTGCCGACAGAGTCTCTATCTCTTACACACCTGACCCCTTCCTCGGGTCAAGACATGTTGTGACACCATCAGTCATCAGCACGCCTTTCTCCGCTTCACCGTCTGAGACGGAAATGCATTCGGTTCGTAGACAAACAGCTCTTACTGTTGCAGGCGTGCTTTATGTCTTTCGTTACCTGCTTGTTTACCCAGTTGTGAAAACGGTGCACTGCTTTCATGAAAGTGTTTACATTTAACTCCAACACAAAAGTGGTGCATAAACACACACTCTTTTCACCTGAAAATATTTTTCAATGATTGTCTTGCTTCATTGCACTACAAATAATGCCCCAGGCCAAGCTAATTATCGAGCTCTACCCACAAAGAGCTTCTTACCTTCTGCGTGAAGACGAGGATGATGGGAAAAGAGTTAGGATTCGAACTGGACAGCAGGTGGCGCTAATGACATGCTAAAGAAGGCTCTGCACTCTAGAGCCAGTGGAGAGGCTGTAGTGTGCGTTTCTTGCATGACTACCTTATGCATCATTACTTTTCTAAATCATGCAGATTTAACGACATAGCCTAAGGAGTCTGACACAAGCGTTTCACCTTATAATTAAACCGAGAATACAGTGACTCTTAGCAATTTATCGTATGTAACATAAAGGATCTTGAGTTTCTTTGAAATAGCGCAACTGATCTGGGCAGTGTTAGATCAGAGTTCTGGACCTAAGAAGACAGCAGGTGGTGAGGGAATGTTGGCACCACGTCACCCACTGAGCTCAGAAACACACGAGCCTGTACCTGGCTTTGAGCATGGACGCGCAGTCTCGCCCCAGCACAGCGCTAGTGTTTATTACTGTGGCTAAGGAGACACAGGAACCCCTGCAGAGCTCGGCTCTTTTACCGGTTCGAAAAATGCATTTCCTTTATTTCTCTTCTTGAAAGGTTAGTACACAAAGCGCCCTCTCTTTCGGTGAGGCTCTTCAAGGAGAATCATGCTTACACAGCAACGCAATACGAAACGGCTCTTATTTAGTTAAGTGCCTCACCCATGTGTACTTAAAGAGAGTTGCATTGCACTCTTCATTGATTAGAGTCCATGAATTATTCATTTTGTGGACGCGTGTGCCTGTGTACATGTGCTTAGGTCTGTGAGTTTGTGCGTGCAAGAAAGAAAATCTACATTTTCTTTTCCTTAGACAAATACTGTATTCCAACAAACTCTGAGCATCACCAAGGTCACTCACAGTCTGGTGTCCTTCAGACATATATTGCTTTGGTACCTTCCTGATTCCCTTCCCCTGAATGAGGAAATGGACTTCTCTGATTCTGTTCAGCTAAGTCTAACGGAACAAGTTGAGTACAATTTCATGCTGATCACACCTACAAGTTGCTAGAGTATAGCTATGTCTCAGCAAGACCCTCTTCAGTGATGATCATTTTTTTTTTCTGAAAAGAGTGAGTCTGGGGGGCAGCCCGTACAGTAGCTCTTCATTACTGCTTGGACCAGACAATTAACCTAGAGCTCAAGCTTGCCAGAACCAATGCAATTCCTGTTATTGCCTGCTTTAATCAGTGTAGATTTCTCTGTTACTAACAAGTGTATCCTGTTTATTTTAGTTCTCTCTAAACTATTTGCAATTTTTTGTTTGTCTTAAACAGATCATCCCGGAAATCCTTCAGCTTGCAAGTTGTTTGTATTAAGTGTTTCCTGTCAGTTTGGTGCTTTTTGTTTTGTTTTGTGAAACGTATTAGGTATCCTGTGGAGGTTTCCGCAATATGTAGTCATAATTGTACCACGACATTATTTCAGTGCACCCAATAAAATTAATCCTGGTGGATTTATATGGTGGGATAAACACAAAACAAATCACAACCTCTGCAAAGGAGCAAGTAATAGGTTTAATCCTGTGCTGAAGAGAGAAAACACAACATTTCGGCCGTGGAGTCTTCTTCAGGTGTGAGAAAGACAGGGCAGTAAGCAAAGGTAATGTACTCTTCTGCTACATCCTGCTACTGCCCTGTCTTTCTCACACCTGAAGAAGGCTCCACGGCTGAAATATTGTTTTTTCTCTCTTTGCTTTTCAGCACGGAATAAACCTATTACTTGCTCCTTTGCAGCCTACGCATGCTGACGCAGCTGCCCACCTGAACTACTACCTCTGTAATATTGTTGCCTCTCACAGTATATGACTGTGGAAATGAACTTACTTTACCAGCTGCGAGATGACAGAGGGAAGGGTTTTTAATGATCATGTCGGTAGTGTTTGTTTTGTTCAGACGAAGAGTAAAAACATCTAAACATAATCTTCTTACATCACTTTACAGGCGTAACATCTGCATCTTCCTGTATATCCTTTTATGTCTTTTTCTGGATGATTCCCTTTTTTCTTAGTCATTATTATTTGCCCTGAAAGCTAAACATGGTGTTAAATATAGCTCAGACAAGCAACAACAACCAAAAACTGTTTGGTAGGACATGTGTAAGGGAAACACATTTCAGATGCTCCCAGCTGGAAAAAGCAAACAGTGCTAAAAAAACACACACACTCCAGACTTAAAACAAAGGAAGCATCACGCTCTCTAATGGACCAGCTATGCGCGTCATTAATTGGCTTCCTCTGTGCACTTCCTGCCAGTCATCTTTGCAAACAAAGTGCCAAATTTGCCAAAGAACATTGGTCCTTAGATTAGGGTTGCAGCTTTCATATCTAAATTTCATCCATCCATTCCTTTTCTAACAGCTTTATCCAATACAGGCCTGCAGGGGAGTCGGAGCCTATCCTGAAAAGAAATAGGAATAAGGCAGGATACACCCTGAATGGGACTATGTACAAATTATGCCTTATAATTCCACTATAGCAATAGGAGTACTGTAGCCAGTTAGTGCTGGAATTTTTCAACACTATTTCTTAAATTCAATTGCATATCTTGCAATTTTATCACACACACTATGAGGAAGTTTATTAGACCCATCATATAACTGTTAACGTTTCAATCAAAATGATGCAAGTGGAAGTGGGTGTGTCCTTACCTTTACAGGCACACTAATTCATCTAATGCACTAATTCAGTTGTATTGACCTTTGCAAGAGTGAGGGTTGATAAACTGTTAATAATCGGTAGGGTCTGACTGATTTATTGTTTTCATAACTGCCTTATTAATGCATAATAAGTGTTAATAGCTTATGTGAATTTCTAAATTTTATTTGCAAAGCTGAAAGTGTTATCACTATTACCTTCACTAGTTCAAATGATATTCAAGACCTGTTAACAGCTTAGCGCACAAAACCCAGAGATTGTTAATAATGACTTACAACAGATGGTCCTAGACAGAAGGGTTACTCCATCCGCTGCAAGAAACGGATGAACACTGCAGGCTGAGTGACCACTGCTTTTTTACCATTGGCTTTCTGCTCGATTGCTATCAGATCATCATATTCGTCATCATCATATTCTTATCAGAGATTCACCAAAGGCAGAGACCTCCTTTTATCACACATAAAGAAGACCCTGCCATCCGTACTGACCAACATGCAAACAAGGTAGGTGGACCAGCCCCTGTAACAGTGAGAGAGCAATCCCAGACCAAAGAGCACCAGCAGCTTCGGTGCTCTAATGGCCCAGTGTGCTGTGCAAGTGCTTTAACACAACAGCATGAGAATAATGTGCATGAGGTTTCTGTTTTTTACAAGACTGCAAAATATAAAGTAAAGCATTTTGAGATATCAAAGAGCAAGTGTGAAAGAGGTTTTGTACACTGGAGTAGAACGTTTTCACATTTTAAACAACAATTGTGGCCAACAGCAGCCACATCTAAATAATAATAATTCCTCACACTTATATAGCGCTTTTCTGAACACTCCACTCAAAGCGATGGCAACCTGAGTGTGCCAGTACAATCACCTCACACCAGCTCTCAGTGGGGAGGAGAACAGAGTGATGAAGCTGGTTCAGAGAGGGGGATTATTAGGAGGCCGTGATTGGTGGGGGAAATTTGGCCAGGACACCAGGGTTACACCCCTACTCTTTTCGAGAAACACCCAGAGATTTTTAATGACCACAGCGAGTCAGGACCTGGGATTTACGTCTCATCCGAAGGACAGTGCCTTTTTACATTATAGTGTCCCCGTCACTATACTGGGGCATTAGGACCCACACAGACCACAGGTTGAGCGCCCCCTGCTGGCCCCTCTAATACCTCTTCCTTAGTGTTTCTCAGGAGGTCTCCCATCCAGGTACTGACCAGGTTCACACCTGCTGAGCTTCAGTGGGTCTCCAGTTGTGAGTTGCAGGGTGATATGGCATTAAAGCATTAAAGCATTAAAGACACCGTTTGAGCAGACACTTTGAATCTCCAGCTGACGTCATCCCTATTCCATTACTGGTTATGATCAGCTCGTTCTGTGGTGTACTATACAACCTGAAGCCAGCCTACTGGCATGACTTTGCATATGACCTCATTCTCCCCCCTCAGGGTGGCTGAGACACTAGTGAGCAAGAGTGTGTACAACCTTGGGCCTCCTTCTGATCATTGTGGGACAATGATAAAAAAAATACAACCAGTGCTCTCATTTCATAATGGAACTTTAATTGCTTAATTGACCCTTGTGAGATAATTGGGAATGAGCTAGAGCATACCTGACCCGCAGTTTCATGGAGCTGTGAAGATAGAGAAAACAATTAAGAGAAACAGATAATAATTAATAAGCAACTAATCAAACCTTGCAATTAAACTGTAGGTAGGACGTGCATCTAAGAAAAACGGTCCTGCCTGCAGTTTTATTGTAAGCTTCGGTTTCTTGATGCAGATAACTTCAGATCCTTTTTAATTTTCTGGCAGAGCATCATTTTCAGAAATCAAACTGTTTGGTATTTATTGGTAAATCTGTGATGTGACTAGCCCCACTGAAGGTGTGCCTGTGCAAATTCCTTGAAACTCTCAGATTTGTCTAACAGAGGGGGTGGTGAGGAATATTGAGATTCAGCAGCTGAGTAGTTTAGGTCCCATCCTCATCATCAGGGCCTCCCAAGTGTTTCCTCTTATACAGTATAATCAGACATTAAACAAAGTGGCTGACTAACACACTCAGTTGGACGTATCTTTTTATTCATCTGGAACCATCCCAGCCAATGGAACAACAGGGAAAACTCCACAAGCTATAGTTTAAAAC